TCCTTATGGGGTTTTGATAGATGGCAGAAGGCTGGGGAGAAAGTGGTGAGGTAGAAAGGAGTAGAGGCTGAGTCAGTATACTGATGGACTGGGGAGACTGAATTATCTAGGAGAGGCTCTTAAGGGTCAGCCTGAGGCTTTACAGTCAGTCAGAATTTAAAATTCTGGATGGTGTCTGATGTAGTGAAATAATTGCCCTGAGTCTTGACTCTGGGCTTACTAGCCACGTGATCTTGGGTAAGTCAGTGAATGTCCCTAAGCTCCTTTGCTTCATCTGTAAATGAGGAATAATGGTAATATCTACATCTCAGGGGTGAATGTGATGACTAAGTGGGATCATATAGGTGAACGTACTTTATAAATGCGAAAGTGCTATGAAAATATTAACAGCTACCAGATTTGCACTGCAATGGGAAGAATTTAGAGCAGGGAGCCCAAAGCGGGACTTGATCCCAGGACCCTGGGATCATGACCTGAGCTGAAGGCAGACGCTTAACCGACTGAGCCACCCTGGCCCTCCTCAGGAAGGATGACAAATCCGTGTTGAGTCTTGTAGAAAGAGAAAAGTTCAACTGTTCAACTGCCCTTCTTTTTTTCATTATAGCAGCTCTGTGAGTTGGCAGAGCAGGGTTTGTTGATGAGAAAGCTGGACCTTAGTGAGTACCCATGGCCAAGGGGATGATCGGAGTGCCAGTTCTGAAACCTGGCACCCTTTCCTTTTTCTCCTTACCATCCCACGGCATGGCCTTTAGAAAAGCACCATTGTTTTCCGTATATTGAATATGGGCCTGATGAGTAGGAGAAAGGAACCTCATTATTAGGTCACAAAATCTCATTAGCTTGACCCAAATAAAGTGAAGTGATTGGGATTCTGGATCTCCATCATCTCTCCACAGAGGTCAGGGGTCTTCACACTGGAGTTCAGGTGGTAGACTCAGAAACCTCAGATCATGTTTGTATTAGTGATTTCACTTGATCCTTAATACAACCCTGTAAGGGAGGTGGGATAGATGGTACCATTTGTCAGATGGCAAGACTGAGGTCAGACAACTTGGCATTGTGTGATAGAAAATGCATAACTGGCTTTGGATTTGAGTTTTGGTTCTGTCACTAATTTGACCCTTTGACCTTAGGCAAGTAACTTAAACCTTCTGAGCCTTGCATTCTCTGTGAAATGGAAATAGCTATACTTAACTTTACCTGTGAGTTGTGAGGGTTACATGAAATGCTGTATGTAAAGCACTTAGCTTTACAGTGCTTGCAAGTAGTAGGTACTAGGCAGTAAATGAAATGGATTGAAGGTGTCATCACCATTGTCATCCTCATCCTCATTAGCTCTCTTCATACTAGGGCCAGAAAACCCTGCTGGCTTTTGGGTCTCAGGCTGCTATACGAATGAGGGGCCCTCGGCACCCCCTGCTAGGAATAGGAAAACACTTTTAGGGAGCGTGAAAGTATTGTTTTACTCTCCCTGACATCTCATCTTTAACCAACTCTGTGATTGGGCTGGCCCTTTGTTTGGAGCTCCAGACCCACAATGGAGCCTCACTTCCAGCTTTCTGAACCTCCTTTGTAAAGCTTTGGAAGGTCTGCATTGGTCTGATGGGAGAGAGATTTGGGGCTTGATTCTGGATCTCTTACTCCCTGAAGAGCTGCCCCCTTTCCTCCATAACTTGAGGACTTTACAACTGTTTTGGTGTTAGGGAGTTCGGTGCATCCCTTGGCAGCTTTGTGAAGGGTGGGTAGGCACTGTGAATTCTTCACTTGCCTCATGTGAGAATGACTTCACCCCAGGGCGCTGAGTTTGCAGAAATTTCCCTGTCTTAGATGCCAGTGTGCTCTAAGACTAGTCTTTCCTTAGCCCACAGGGATCTTGGCCCCTGGTAAATGTAGCGTGACTAAATGGAGTCCTGTTTTTGCATTTAGCTTGCATTACGGTGTTTGATGTTCTCTCCGTTTCTCCCTGATAGTAATATAATTCTCTGGATTAGGAGTTGGAAACCCAGGTTCTAGTTGGGGCAACAGTTTCCTTGGACAAGTTGCTGTACCTCTTTGGGCCTCAGTTTCCCCATGTATAGATAAAACTGATTTTCTGTTCCTTTTTGGTTTGTGTCTTTTTAGCAGTAATCCTCTTTTCTTTCAAATAGAATCTTACAGAGGGCCCCATGAAGGGAATAGAAAAGGTGTCCTACGGAACAGAGATGCTGGGGTTGAAGCCAGGCAAGCAGTTTTGCTCTCCCACTGCTTCCTTGTCTCCAATGCAGATATACATGCTTTGTGCCCCCCTGTGGGACTTCTAGGGCTCTACCAAGAGATGTGAACATCACTGGTACAGGATCATCTCTACAGCTCTAAGAATTTTTTTGCTGTTGACAGGTAGTTAATAAAAATCTGTAAAATGTATATATGAAATGTACAAGTAGACTATTGAGTCTTTAAGAAGAATTAGATTTTCATTGATATATTTGAGAGATTCTAAAGTTTGGTTCAGTCTGTAATGCTTTAATATGTTGCAATGTCCAGTAGAAGACTGACTTAGTTTTGCTTGTAGGATAAATAATTAAGAGTGGCTGATACCGTATTTCCCTCTCTTAGGTATCACTTCCTTCTGGGAATACCAGTACGATCCAAGCATTAATATAATTCAGTAGTGAAACTAGATGCTTTTACAGATACCTCTCTTACAAGTATCCTGGCATTCTCCACTATTTATATAGAGCAGAAAGAACATTTGCTGTTTGTGTTTTGGGAATCATTCTAGTGCCAGTTTCATATTAAGGGATTTAGGAATACTGAATAGTAAGATAAGTATATATACTCTGGAGTAGAGGGATGTAAATTTGAATTAGATTCTGTCACTAACTAGCTGTGTTTGAACAAACTGCTTTAATTTTTCAGTCTTGATTTACACATCTTTAAATTGAGCCAGTAATACCTGTTAACCTTTTGCAGATTTGTCATAAGGATTAGGGGATAACGTATCTTCAACCTCCAGTGAACATACAGTCAGACAGAAGGACCAAGATTGGTCTGTTAGGGAATTCTCATAGAAAAGCATCCAGTTTTATGTTAGTAGGTTCAAAAGGTAAGTCACCTCGTGTGATTTACTCATTGGTGTTTGCTCACTTCAGGGAACATTTGTTTATGTCTTGTCCGTTTGCAAGAGGCAGTATAGAGGAATAATTAGGAACAGGGACTCTAAAGCCAGACTGCCTGTGTTTAAATCTTAGCTCCACTGTTTACCTGCTGTGTGATCTTGGCTGAGTTACTTAAGTTTGATATTTCTTGTGGGGATAATAGTAACACTAACCTGCTCAGGAGGTGTTTTTTTTTTTTTTTTTTTTTTTTTTTTTTTTAAAGATTTTAAAGTTTTTTTGTGAAGATTTTATTTATTTATTTGACAGAGGCAGCGAGAGAGGGAACACAAGCAGGAGGAGTGGGAGAGGGAGAAGCAGGCTTCCTGCTGAGCAGCATGGGATCGTGACCTGAGCCAAAGGCAGATGCTTAACAACTGAGCCACCTAGGCATCCCAGGAGTTTATTTTTTTATTATTTTTGATTTTTTAAAAAAGATCTTATTTATTTGAGAGAGAGAGATCACAAGCAGTGGGAGGTGGGTAGAGGGAGAAGCAGACTCCCTCCTGAGCAGGGAGCCTGAAGTGGGACTTGATCCCAGGACCCTGGGATCATGACCTGAGCCAAAAGCAGACGCTTAACCTACTAAGCCACCCAGGGCACCCTTCAGGAGTTTGTTAAAAGTAGAATGACAAATCTGTGTTGAGTCTTGTAGAAGGGGAAAATTTAGAGCACACAGAGAGTGGGGTCTGGTAGTATGGTATTTTTATGGCTAAAAATGTAGCAAGTGGCTAGTCTAACCCTGACAGCATTTTTCTCGTTATAGACATCTTTTCTACCTTACTTAGATGAATTGTTTGATTGATGTTAGCGATCACAGGTTTTCAGGGCAGGTCTTATAAACCTAGAAGAGATCTAAGGTTATAGAGGGTGCTTACTCAAAGTCACATAAAGCACATTTAGTGGCAGAACCAACCTAGATCAGTATATACAGTCCAGGACTTTGTTCCTATTTCACAACAGAGGATACTCACTTTTTTTAATTTTGAGAGGGAGAAAGAGCGTTGGGTGTGGGGATAAGAGGGGGAGAGAGCATCGTAGGCAGGCTCCACACCCCGCGCAGAGTCCGTCACAGGGTTGATTTCACAACCCCAAGGTCATGACCGGAGCTGAAATTAGGAGCTGGACGCTTAACCGACCGAGCCACCCAACTGTCCCAGAGTATACTCACTTTTTTTTTTTTTTAAGATTTTTTATTTATTTATTTGAGAGAGAGAGAAAGCACATGAGATGGGGGAGGGTCAGAGGGAGAAGCAGACTCCCCGCCGAGCAGGGAGCCTGATGCGGGACTCGATCCCGGGACTCCTGGATCATGACCTGAGCCGAAGGCAGTTGCTTAAGCAACTGAGCCACCCAGGCGCCCTATACTCACTTTTTTAAATGACTGGATGAGCAGTTCTTGTTAATGAAGAATAATAGCAAAACTTAGTGTTTAATACGTTATAGGAAAACGAAGTCTACAGACACGGAGTTTTTCCCCACAGGTTATGGGCCATCACACTTTCTACCCAAGTGCTTGGAAGACTGTAAGTGAGGGGAATAATCAGTTAGGGGGCGCTTTCCAGTAGGTTGTTTCAAAGAATATACAGTTACTGAGCCGGGGCTCACAGGAGAAGGGTGTATTCCTGATGTCTTGGACAGTGGGTCTGACTTGTGATAATATTATCCCCAAATGATATACATGCTGTTTCCATAATGGTAATGAGAGCTTTATGCATAACCATTTTTCAGGAAATTTAGGCTCAGAGGAATTTGCTCAAGTCAGAGCTTCAAAATGATGAAATCATGATTCAGCTCCAGATCTATCTGATTCCAAAAGCCAGTGTGTTTCACCATATGTGAGAATGCCCACCGCCTCCCCCCCCAAATGTGAATGAATATTCTTAGAAAGGTTAAGCTCAGGCTGGAGCCACACTAAATTTAGGAAGACCTCTGTAAAAAGAGAAAAGACCAGAACTGGAGGCAGGCTGCATCTGCCCTGTTTTTCTTTCCTAGAGTCAGTGGATGTGTAGATGCCGGTGGTTTGGGTTCCTTAATGTAGGAAGACAGTGTAGCCACCTCTTGGAGGCAGAGGCTGCCCGGGGGCTTGGGAGGAGGGCGTGGAGCAGAGTTACTCAGGTGGCCTTTGATGGGACTAGTCTTAATACCAGTTTGGGTTGGTTCAGGCCGAGTCACCAGTGCTGGGACTGACAACGATGGATGGCTCCATCCGTTGAAAAGCCAACTGGGAAGGACCTTTAGAGGTTATTTAGCCCAACCCTTTCACTTCTTTGGGGGTGGGGTGGGGTGCAACAGTTTTGTTTAGATATAATCCATGTACCATATAATTCACTTATTTAAAGTGTATAATTCAGTGTTTTTTATCTATTCACTGACTTGTGGAACTATGACCACGATATATTTTGGAACATCATCTTTACCTCAGAAAGAAACCTACCCCATACCCTTTAGCTGTCACCTCCTAAACCCTCCTCCCCTGCCCCTTGTCCCTCCAACCTTAAGCAACTAGTAGCCTACTTTGTCTTGCTGTAGATTTGCCTCTTTTGAAAATTTCATATAAATGGAATCATACAGTGTGTGGTCTTTTGTGATTGGCTTCTTTCATTTAACATAATGTTTTTAAGGTTTCTCCATATTTTAGCATATATCAGAACTTCATTCCTTTTTATGGCTAAATGTTCCATTGTATGGATATACATTTTGTCTAATTCATTTATCAGCTGATTGATTCTTGAGTTGTTGCCACCTTTTGGCTGTTAGCCTAGTGCTCCTGCGAACAGTTGTGTACATGTTTTTTTGTGTGGCCTTCCAGTATTCAGATGGAGAAATTGAGTGGAGTGGTTTGCCCAGTTCTCACTGCTGTTCCCAGTGTATCCTGGGGCTGGAGGAGGCTGTGGTGTCATCTGTTTGACCAGGATGGTAGCTAACTGTGAGGAGTTTGATGCATGTAGAGACTTGTGGAGAAGCTGAGATTATTTTTAGTTTGGGGGCCTTCGGTTCCTCCAGGACAGGTGATAACAATGCAAGGACATGAGGATGGACTTAGGTATCACATTTTCCACTGACCTTCAGTGCAACCCTAGACAGGTGACTTGACTTCTGTGAGCCTTGGATTTCCTACTTGAGAAATGGCATTAATGCCTGTCTTGCAGTATTATGAAGAGCAGCAGTGACGGAGGTGAAGCACCCCGCGTAATGCCTGATTGGCTAATTCCTATTATTTAGGAAGATAATGGAGGAGCAGAGGAAAATGGCCAGAGGTGGACCTGTAATGCTCCAGAGGAGCCACTAGATGGCAGAAAAATAGCAAGAAAAGTCTGGTTGGTTGTACACCTGGGACTTAGAAAGGTTTCTTGAGTTTGTCTTTCTCATTGGCCTGGAAAAAGAGCACAGACACTCAAACTGCTGGGAACAGAGCCCACTGGCCCGCAGTCGCTTGTCACCCCCACCTACCTGTAGCCTGTACTATAATTCTTAGAACCATTACCACCCTCCAGGACCAGTGATCTTGCTTTCCATTTCTCAAATAAATGAGTGTCTTTCAGTTCACCTGCAGCCAAGCATCAGTCCTTATTCTCCCCATTTAAAAAACTGGATCATGAGCCAAGCTTTGGTGCAGACTCTGTGTTTGGGGAACTTGCAGACCAAGATATCTCTCGTTATGGACACATCCTGTCCCTCCAAGCAGCAGCATCAAGTTTAGGCTGCCGGGGAAGAGTGAAGTGTCCATGTGTGGGGTGGGAGTTGGAGGGAATTGGTTTACCTCAGGGCTATGGAGAAGATTTGGGTTCGTTGGAATGTATGCAAGCAGAGAAGTCCTCTTACAGGCGTACACTGGGACTGGGCCATTAGGCCAGACGACCTCCATGTTTTCTCACGGTTCTGAGCCTAGATGGCCAGGAAAGGTGAGCACAGGGAATCTGCAGCTTTTTCCTGGCTCATTCAGAAAGATTTCCTACTGACTGGTTTCTCCCAGCCCCCTTTTGCCTCCAAGGAGGGAACTTTTATATCTAATAGAATCGAGGCTCCCCAATTTGCAAGGGCCCGTGAGTAGAGGATGGAAAAAGTAGAGAGAGGCAGATTGATGGGACCCTGGGCTGGAAGGTAGCCTGGAAAGATCATGTGGCCCATATCCTTTCCTGTGGACAGATGGGGCTTTATAGCTGAGAGGCCTTGGTCAGGCTGAGGCTTAAATAGACCGTGGCCCAGCCTCAGCCGTTCACTGGCAGGCAGTTGGCTCTGGTCTCCTACCGTCTAATCTTCGTATGTTTTTTGTCATCTTTTCTTAACCTGTGTGTGAGCCTCTCCTTGTATCCAGCATGGTGTGAAGCACATAGTGAGTTCAGATGACTGAACAGAAGAGAGGCGGGGAGGAGAGGGGAACTCAGGAATGCAGAAGAATCCAGCAGGGGAAAAAATAACGCATGGGTCATAATACCATCTCATGTTCATCTTCCGAAAAGCCTGTGAGGCAAGTAGAGCAGGTGTTTATTTTACAAGTGAGAAAACTGGCCTAGAGTTCAGCTTCTATAAGATTTCACAGATGGAAATCAGAGCCTTTGGTTCAGAGTCCAGTGCTCCCTCTCTGCTTGAGCACCTTACCTCTACGTGGATGATGCCCCTTTTCTACCGAGTGGCTTCTGTGGTTAGGAAAGCTGGGACTGGCATTCCGCTAATTCACAAAATGGGTAAGGTTCATCTGAGCACCTCTCCTGTCCATTTTCCTTCTGCAAAGCCACGCACCCTTGGGGCAAATTGTTGGCTGTCACTTGGTCATATTGAGGTGGGCTGGCAGCGGTGGTGGCTTGGTTTCCAGATTAAGGAGTCTGCATTTTGCTTCAGTCATATGCACTTTTCTCCAGATGTTAAAGGGTAAACCAGCCCCTCTGGAGTTGAAAAGGACACTGGGGAAGAAGGAACATGTAAAAGCGTGTGTGCGTGGAATTTTAGAGCTACTAAGGAAGTTGCAGGCTTTGGAGTAGAACAGATCTAGGTTTCAAACCATCTGTGCCATCGAACAGCTGTGACTTTGGATAAGTCCATTAACCTCTCTCAGCTTCAGTTTCTTCATCCCTAAAGTGGCACAGTTGCTGTGTTGTAGGGCTGGGGAGAGTCAGAGATGTGCACACAGAGAAGCATGTCCCCGAGTGGCTGTTGTGCGTCCGAGTTATTTGCAGTCTCTCTTGGGTGCTGCCGATGGATGGACCCTTGATTGCCTTCTGCTCTGGTGAGCTGAGAGCAGGAATCCCAGGCCTGGTTCTTGGGAAGCTCACCCCAGGGGCGATAGAATCTGATGCATTTGTACTTTCCCAGGAGAAGGGGGAGGATGTCTTTAAACTTCATGTTGGCTGCTGGGCCCTGGGACAAAGGGGAGACAAGCCCCAGGGCTGAGACAATCCTGTCTTTATTATCTCCGATGTCTCAGGCCTGTCCCTGCCTGGAGATATATGGCCGGGAAAGCTAGCTCTGTGGCCTCGGCACGATTCCAGGTCCTCGGAATGTCTGGCTGTTTTATAGCAAACAGGATCACGCACAACAGCCCAGCATCCAGGCATCTCCACCCCAGCAAGCTCTTTCTCTCCGCCAGCTTGTAAAACAGTGGGACCTACAGCAGTGTGACATAGGCCCCATGCCTCTGGGGGTCCCAGCAGCCTGGCACTGCTGGGGCAGCAATGCTGGGCAATGGTGGATCCATCTGAGACTCTGGGCACAGGGCCAGCAGCGCCCTGGGAGCATCTTCCAGACCAGGCTCCGCCTGGCTCAGTTCTTACTTGTAAGCCATGGGCTGCCCTGATTCTAGCTGCTTTCTCCCCCTTTTGTCCTCTTGGGAACAGCTGCAGGGAGCCACTGAGAAGGCTTGTTTACAGATGCACTTGGCACGGGGTGGGGAGACCAGTGGCGATGAGTCCTTGAGTTCCAACCTCCAGCTGCTCCCAGGTGCTGGGGAGCCTTCCGCTCTGGGCCCCAAAGAAACGAGTCCACACTGTTGTCTTTGGCTGAGCCTTCAGGAACTCAGGGATGAGGGGACCAGGAGACAGTGGGTCAGATGGCTGTCCAGGGCACCATTTATAATGAGGCCATATGGGCTGGCCCTCCGGGGAGGCCTTGTGCAGGGACCAGGACTGTGGACCCCCGGCTGAGGCTCTTCTCTGGGTCCTTGAAAGGGGATTGGGGTCCTGCAGTCCAGGCATGGGTGGTAGATGAAGATGGTTTCGTCTGTTTGCCTGACTCTTTTGTTCGGGAGAAGGAGTCCAGAATAACAGCCGTAGAGCTGTGCTGGTAGAGAGCTTTTGAGCCCACTCCTGCGCAGTCCTTCCTTAGGTAGGCAGTCCACCTTGTGCCCATCTGGTGCCCAGCAGATGGCTGCATTGCATTATTTTCTGGAGTGTATGCCTTGGTTCATTTGAAATTTATTTGGTGACATCGGAGATGATAAAGCTTCCCTGCCCCGCCTTGCCCACATAAACTAGAAGATCCAGATCCTACCTTGCGGGAGCTCCCAGTCTGAGAAGGAGGATATGCAAATGTAAGCAGTAGTGTGTGTGGCCCAGTGTGCCATATACTTCAGGGGAAGCGCAGATCTGCAAAAGGGGTGCCTGTCTGTTTTCCTGAAAAGTGTGTCCTCTGCCCAGCGGAAGTCGGGGGTTCCACCCTGAAACATCTGGCCTTGGCCAGGCTTAGGATCATGGGTGAGGGAGTGGCCGCAGGAGCATTCTGTGGCGTTCACAGCAGTAGTGCTTGCTTGATGGCCCAGTACCAGCCGTGTGGCAGGCAGCGTGCTAAGTGCTTTTCGTGCTTTATTGTCACAGTAGCTCAATTTCTAACTGAGGAAGCAGGTGGAATGATTTACCCAGGGTACACAGCTAGGACATGGTAGAGCTGGGCTTACTTGACTCCAGGGCTTTTAAGCACTAGACCCCCTTGGGGTGGACAAATAGCATATGTAATTTGAAAGGCTTATTTTAGATAACCAGATTTATTTTGAAATGTCAGATAGAGCTAATAAAGTAAGGGCTTTGTCTCTGAAGGCAAGAGGTATAGGTTAAAGGTTGAGAACCCCTTTCCTGCTAATGAACTGATGCCTCTTCTGGGCAAGCTAGACGGGGGTTCTGACCCTTGAGGGCAAGTTGGAGGGGAGTAACCTGCTTCTCTCCTCACCATGCTGGGGCCCCCCCCATCCCACTGAAGCTCGCTGTGGTTGCAGGTGGGTGCCTGAGCAGCTTGGGGACCAGGAATCAGATGCCATATTGCTGAGTGGAGAGGGGTGGGGTGTGTGGGGGTGCTGTCATCAGGCATATGGCTATGCTGCCTGGCCAGGTGGGCAGGGGAGCGTGCATGTCCTAGGGCAGAAGTGGGGAATGGGACAGGCGACTGTTTA